GTACGGTAAATGATTGAGAACCATTCATTGCCTTTAATGACATTATTGACATTTAGAGTTCTAGGTCATTGACCTAGAGCTTCATGTTCTTTGTTTTCTATGTAAGTGCTGAGAGTATTATTATACACCTTGTTAATGATAAAAACGTTAGCAATGTAGTTGGAGTGCTTGCTGTTTATGTTTTTTTGCCTACGCGAACATCTTGAAACCACAATACATGAGGGACGAGCAATATAATGTTATCAATCAGGTCTTATGTGTCACCATCCTTAGCAAATTAATTCAACATTCTGATGATGTACGTACATGTACCTGTTGTACATTCTCATTGTTACGCATGTTTACTGAGAGTTTGTGTGAACAATACAGACACTGTAAATGGATGAATGAATGATGGGTGAAAGTGAAACTTGCTATCCATCTAAGATGGGACCAGATCATTCTGAAAGCCGTTGAATGGAAAGTTGACAGATTGAATTAACCAGTTTTCAGTGATGCCACATTGTATCATTAAGGTTGTGATTGCTAGGAGTGGTTTGAATGAAATTCTTGATTATGACATGCTTTCATTCTCTTGTGTTGTTGTTTTACTTACATTGCCTCTGAAAGGTTAAGGGAGGAGGGGGGGGGGGGGGTAGGAGGAAGAAGAGTGATTCTTATCTCCCATGATTCATTATTCCAGAGGGGCCATTCTCCGCTATCCACAATTTGCTCAGGTGCACCATGGGAAATTGAGAATTGATTGCTTGCTGTATGTGGTTAATGAAGAGACACTCACACTTGAAATTCAAACTATGTAGCAGACAGAATATAGACATATGTTTCACCATTTACATTTGTAGAAACTTGTCATTAACAACCCCGTAAAATTTGTTATTCAAAATTTTAAAGAAGAATGGTGTATTTACAAATGTATAGTATTTAACATTCTGAACTTAAACATGAGAAAAGTTTCAATGAAAGCAAATAAAGTAGATATTGATTATGACATGCTTTATAAATTCATGAAATATAACAGTGTGACAAAATTATACCTACATGTACAGTAGGTATTGCACAAAGGGGATTAGATACTGTAACGTGAGCATGGATAACCATCAGTGATTTGTTTCAGGATTAAAAATAAAGCAACACAACTGATGCATTGAAACTTTGAAGTGTGACTGCCACCATGAAGCAAACGAGGGGAGATCATCAGGGAAAAAGGGGGATAAGAAGTGATGTTATCGGTAGGAAGGTATTAGTGTGGCACAAAAGCTTGAAAAAACATGCCATGTGCAATTTACTGTTGACAGTTGAGTGTTACTCACAGCACTCACCTTTTGGAGAGAGGTGACAAATTTCCCCTCCGAGTCCTAGAGTAATATACAACAATGGTCATTGTCGATAATTCTTTCATCCCTCTGTCATGTTTTTAAGTGATTTCTCTGAATTTCTGAACATGAATGTACAGTGTAATGTTTGACATCAAGAAAGGGTGCGGGATTGAATTTAGATTGATGTTGTTTAAAGGATAATACACGGATGCTAAGAATAAGATGAAGCTAGTTGAATCCAATTGATGAATCTTACCACAAAGCAAGTGAGATGATTTAATTACCTACATGTAGCAGTTGTTAAGGAACTACATGTAGATCAATTCCTGGACTTTTGATAATTAGTTTAGTGTAGTTTTTCCAAGAAGTTGCATTGAACTTTTTTCCCTTGATGCTTTTTGCAATTGGGATAACATGATCACATATGATAGAAAAGATGTTGTCAAACACATGTTGTGGACGATACATTACCGGTGGTAGGTCTAATTATGCCAGATAACATTTCAATCTTAAATGAACTGTTTCTGCATATTTTTTCAAAAGAAAGATCAGTGCTCTCTTTCTTTTTTTGATGTTCACTCTCTCCCTCTCTTTAATTTCCTCTTTTTTTCTTTCTGGTTGGACTGTGAATTACATATGTACATTTACCCTATAGGGAAGATTTATCTATAGCTACTTTGCAATGTACATACATGTGTTTACTGTATACTACAATGTACATACATATAGTTCTTCACATATGTTTTACTGTATTTAAAATTTAAAATATGTTTAACACAAAATTTTAAGGTTTTTCCAATAGCGCATTTAGTAGGTAATGATCTGAAAGGAAATATGGAAGGACATCTTATTACAAATTGACCATAGGAAAGGAATCATGCCCCGTAGAAAATTTAGGCAATCAATTTGATAGATCTTTATATTTTTAAACTTCATCCATCACGTATACAGGATACGGCAATACTACCAAACATGGCCGCTAAGAAAAATAGGGAAATAAAAGCAACTTGCTTCAGGGAATCCAAGCTATCCCATAATTTCTCCCATTCTCTAGTTCTCACTCTGCTACTTTCAAAACCTTTCTTGAATAATTTGAATAGGAAATCAAACTGGAGTAACTTTCTCACTATCTGTGCTATCGGGTGGAAACACAAGATGTGATATGAGTATGTAGTCACACTCCATAATTGATTCTAGGCCTTCATACAATAACTTGTCCCATATGTTTGACATCAAAGACCTTTCATAGTTGGATTTTAACTTTACTGTGATGTCTTTCCTACCCAAATATTATTCATATTTCAAAAAAAGATTATAGAAAAAATTTATGTTATACGTTCAATAGAAATTAGTTTTTTTCTGAAGTTTGATATTTTGACATTTCTTTTAAAAAGTCAAATATATTTCAAAATTTTGTCATCTCGTAATAGGTTTTTAAATAATAATAATAATAGCAATAATAATGATTAAGATGATGACGATGATGATGATGATGATGAAAATAATAGTAATAATAATATGATATAATGGTGACATCACCTCAGTGGTGCCTTAGGTCCATGGATTAGACCTGGCTCTATAGGTGTAAATAAGAACAAGATAATAATAATGATGATGATAATAAGATTAATTGATTAATTGTAATGATGATAATAATAATTATAATAGTAATAGTGATAATAATAATAGTAAAAATAATAATAATAATACTAATAATGATAATAATAATGATATAAATATTTGTGGCTTCTTAAACAGCTGACTTATTGTGATGCTCCTGGTGCTCCAACATTATTAGTCCACTCATACATTTAGCTGGTGGCCAAAAATGTGGCATATTACATGTACTGTAGGTACCTACATGTATGCCTTGCTTATTGGTGGTAGTTTTAAGCTGGGGTCAAACCTCAACCCTTAGATTGAGAGTCAAGTAAATGAACCACTATACCCTGGTACCTCCACAAAATAAATGGACAATTTTGAGGGCTTAATGAGCATGATTGATTGTACTTACAAGTGCAATAAATAGATTCGAAAGTGTGATATTCAATATTTCTGCAATATACTGCAGGTAGCTGTGATGTCTGGATATGATCAATTATAATTTATTTTGCTTTTCTTGTGAGCTAGTTTTCAATAATTCAAATTGTTATTTGTTAACCAGGTCCATAATTACGGTTATAATACTGATTTTTAAAGTGAAACTATAAAAAAAAAAAAAAAAATTCTCAGAAGAACTTGTTGTTTGCGATTTTGAAGGGGGCCAGGGGGGGGGGGGGCAGCAGTCTACACACATTTTTTCTTCTTCCAGTCATGTGTATAAAGACCGATATAAATCATAATTACCTGATTAAAACGTTTCTTGAAGATAATTGTGAAATCATAGGAAAGCATATATTTCATATCATTGCTGAAAAAGGAAACTCACACTTTTGTACATTTAAGCTTTTCTCTCCCTAATCAGGTGTTTCTGTGAAACTTGGCATAAAACATATATTCACACGTTGGCTTTGAATCAAATATAGAACAAAATTATATTCTTTATATGTATATGATAAAGATCTGATTGGCCTCCATTAATATTTAATTCTGATTATTACATAATCAGAATTCGAAATTTAGGCTTACCCTTAATCTAGTTATATAGATAATTAATCTGTGCTAGTGCTCATGTCAATGTAATCTCCAATTGATATGAAAGAGTTTTCATGAATATCACTGCTAAAAAAAATGACTTGAGACATGAACGTTTGTGTTTAAACTCTTTGTATGTTGTAAATTTTTGGTCATTTACCATTTGAAACACAAAATTTGTATCAAACCACATGATCTATTTTTCATGTGGCATAACATGATTGAAAATTAAATTTGCTCCAATTATTGAGCATATTTGTAGGCCTCATAAATATGAAAGGTAAAATTAGTAAACACTTGCACCTAAATATGAAGAAGAAAAAATGAAATTGCTAACTCATTGTCCAACTTGTCCATTCGCCTGCTTCCCTTGGGAACCCCCCTCCCAGCTAATGGAACAGGCCATATGTCTGACACAGGACAAGGAGGAAACTCGTGTTTCAAGGTGACACCTTATCTGATATAGGGAGGATGCTGATTTAGTGTTCAGGAGGGACCCTGCCGGAGTCCAGGGCCATATTTTGTGCCTTTGTGTTCTTGAGATATAGCGGTCAAAGTTGACACCAGCTTCAAGCGTTATTTAAGCCATCGACTCTGGCATTGAGGACTGACTTCTGATGAAGGATCATGAAGAATTTGATTAAAACATGAAGCATATGATCATTTTAGTTTTCCTCGATGCTCACTTTTGAAGAGTCCTAGTTTGGTACATGTAGAACTCGATTTTGATGGCGGTCAAGGCACTACATGTACCTGCCCAAATGTTTGTAGCCTATTTTCTCTTCTTTCTTAGAGATTGGAAACATGTGTCCTGTTCTATTCAGATGAAATGCTTTAAAGAAGAGTTTCTTCTCTCTAATCCACAACCTTATGACTTTGTGATAAATCTTTCCCAACACTATTACATTGTACCCTTCTTAAATTCTTTATAGGGGTATTATGAAATGTACATGTATATGTTGTTAATTAGAAATTCATTACTTAAAAGAAACCATGACTGTTTTTCTATGATTTTATAATTTTCTCTTTCTCCTTTAATCTGTCTTGCAGCTTGCTAGTTTGTACACAGTGAAGGCAGTGGCTATCCTAGACAATGATGGAGAGAGGTTACTAGCAAAGGTACTGTGATATGCTCAAAGATATTCTTCATCTATAGATTTTCAAGTATTTCAATGACCCTGAAATTTTATGCAGTTTTAAAATGTGTGTTACTTAATAAAAAAAGTGAGTATTTGTCTGTGTTCATGCATCACTGAAACTTTACAGCTATCCAAGATGTCAATATGTGGAACTTTTGTAACAAATACAAAATATTACAAATGGTATTTTTCAGCTGATATCCAGAAGTTTTTTTGAATTAACGCAGGTAATGAATATTAAATTTACAAATCAGTATTAAGTTTAATGTATAAAACAGACAAACAAGCAAACAAATGCAAAAGTACTTGAACTTTCCAGTATCTGTCCCAAGCAAAGGTACTTTTATATATAAGTCAACCCCTTTGAAATTGCACATAACAATTGCATAACTTTTCTATATTATGTTGTATGTGCAGTACTACGATGACACATTTTCCACTGCCAAAGAGCAGAAGGCATTCGAGAAGAACCTCTTCAACAAGACACATAGAGCAAATGGTAAGGTTTGAACAAATACTCTCCAATCCTGTGAACTCTGTTTGTAACCCTAATTTGATGCTTTCCACTATGGTTCAGAGATGTGGAGATATCGGTGGGAAAGTCCAATGTATTTAATCATTGTGTGTCCCATACATTACCAAGTATTGAGGATTTGTGAACATTTTGACACATTTTGAACAAATTGACTTCAAAAATGTAATTTCTCTTCATATTTTCTATTTGCTCCAAGCTCTTGAAGAGCTATTAATCTTATGCAGTGATCAGATACACTTATATCTTACTTGTTAATGTATGGGACAATATAGCTTAGACTTAACCTGGTAGAATTTAAGAATAGGGCTTGCAAAACAGAAATCTTATGAATGCTCATGTTGCAGTCACTGATTGTAATAATGATGAAAGATAAAGACCTTCTTAGGTGCTTCATTATGAAAAAGCTCTTTCTACCATTACTTTGTGAAGAAAGTTTGACCTTACAAGAGTTTTCAAAGACCCCCAGCAGAGTAGGGAATAAGGGATGTAATAAATGAATGACAGGTGGAGCAGACTACCCTTTCCTCCCCTTCATGGCCAGCATACACTCTAGGGTGGAAGTATGATACAACTTTACATTTTGGTATAACATCTAGCTCCTCTCCTTTATGTTCAATGTCTTTCATTCACTTGTTGGAGGGGCCCGTCATCCCAGCATGCTGCCAATCCCTATTCCCGGGGATGGTGCAGTCCAGAGGACACTCGGTGGTGTGTGAAATGGCAAAGTTCATTCCGCTTTCCAGGGGGATTCCATGCATGCAATGTTTTTGATTTCCCCATCTTCCTTCCTGTCATTGGATGGTGACTTTCTTGGGGAATCTTCAGACTAGACCGTCAGGGATGGGATCTGTTGACTCAATATCAAAGAAGGGCCCTTACTTTCTCTCTCTCTCTCTCTCTCTCTTCCCCTCATCCCTCTAAATGTGAGGACTTGATGCTTTGTCTTGGGAACTTTATGGTTAAAGAGAGAAATATCCTTATAACTATGTCATCTGAACCTGATGATAATAGAATTCAAAGCCATTGTAAGTTCCTTGTCTATGATTATGAATCAATCAACAGATTAAAATTTTATGACACAAGATCATTTCTGTTTTAAATTTTACACCAAACATGCTCTTGATGATCTGAAAATGTTAATAAAAATATACCTAATACAATCAGAGACAAAATATATTCATACACTTAAAAAACATTACCGGTAAAATTTATTTATCATCTTGGTATATATATTGCAATTAGGAATTCCAAAAAAATGTAATTGCAGAAATAGAAGTTATGTCATTTGTTATTTTGCAAATAGATAAGATGTATTTCTATTTCAAAATTTGTGCTAGAACTTTGTTTGACTTTCCAATACTGGAGTTAAATTTAGATGACCTGAAAGTATAGTTATGAGCTTTTGATTTTAGAAGCTCACTACATGTATCTTAAGGGTTTGATTCAGGTCTATTTTTAGTTTGAATAACCTTGCATTAGACAGATGTTCTGTATGCCTCACACATTTTACCATTTGTGAAAAATAATGATTCTCATTTCTAAATTTTAATATTGGGGGAATGGAATTTGTCAGTTTGCTCACTTTCCTGGGATATTGATGAAAGAAGAATGGTAATTTCTCTTTCTTGTCAGTACTCAGATTAAAAAAAACAAGATTGAAAAACAGTGACTTTTCATTTATGATTTGAAGGAAACATTTGTAACCATGACACTCTTTTGAATAACTTTATATTTGTTAATGTTTATATTGCCTTCTTTGAAATATATGGATGATATCATGAGATGCAAGCTGAAAAGAATTAGAATAGAACAAATGTCACAGAGCAATGTTTGAGGGGACTTGTAATCAATGTCTGTTGAAAGCTTTGGTTTTACAGGAAGTATTCATGAAATGAACTTTTATTGTGAAATTTTATTCTGTCCAAGCTAGATAGCTCTGTGAACATAATACATTTGTAGAAGAGTTGCCATGTCATACAGGGAATAATGGAGAATACCTGACAATATTTGCCTTCCAATCTTATCACATGCCAGCAGTTTTTCAATTAAGGAGATAAAATCTTTTCTAAGCATTTTAATATAATTCTACTTGGAGTCCCTTACTTGTGAAAGAAATATCATAGGAGAAAAGAGGTGGATAGTAAGTTCTGTTTTTGTATAAATTGGTTTCTCAATCATCGAGAGTTGGTTAAGAGATATATCATTAAGTGCTCGCCTTCTTGGAGTTCCTGAGAGCTCAATTCTGCGTAACGGCGCTCCAGGCCAGCGGGGCATGAGTGTCTCTGGGATGTAAACGAGCCTTGAATGCCTAGCCCGCAGGCAGTATTCCTCCTCTTGTGACTCAGGTTAGGGGGGGGGGGAACAAGTTATGTTTTGTGATAGCATCTCTCTCTCTCTCTCTCTCTCTCTTTTGCTCTTTCTTAAGTTTGCCCACCTTTAAAAAGAAGCATGATGGGAAGAAGGACATTAAGGGTTTTGCAGACCATTGAGTAGGATATGAAACGAATAAATCAAATTTTTTTAAAAATATTTTATTCTTCTACGATATTGATTACTTTTCATTGGAATATCCTGTACTCTTCACACTTTCTTTCTTTCTCTCTCTTATACCCACTCTCTTTGTTTCATTTCATTTCATCCCTTTTTTCTGCTGAAGATCAATGAGAGAGTATTCATATGTGATAGATAATATATTCATTTAAGATAAATTTGTATTATTTAATCTATTCAATTAAAAAAAAAAAAAAGAGAGAAGAAAACAGCAATATCATTACAAAAAAAAAGATCTAAGATATGAAGGCAGTAAGACGCATCAAAAATTCATATAGTACTTGGCAAAACTTAAATTGTTTTAGACCTAAAACTTCTAATATACAGTTTAAAAAAAAAAATGTCTAACTGATTAATCACATTCCTGGACAAAACTGCTCACAGTAGGTTTTTTTCATACAATCTCTGTGGAGGTGGCATGATTAGCATCATTGCCCTAAAACATACAAACCTAAATTGGACTGTTTTCCATTGGGGTTAGATTTGAATCCTAATGTCATATCTCTTGCTCACAGTGTACATATACGTACATGAAACTTTCATGCATCATTCTTTTTACCTTTTTGATACATCCTCCTCTTCAAGGGGTTACATTTTTTGTGGTTTTTACCCAGATCCTCGAAGAAAAACAAGATTCTCAGGTTTGCATCAGATCACTTGTTCTCCAAACAAATATCGGTGTGGGCGTCTGTCAGCAGCAATAAATAGGCTCAGGGCAGGACAGGATGGGAGTTTGTGATAAGAACAAACCATGGAAAAGGTCCCCAAGTCTCTTGGTAGCCTAAGAAAACCCAAGACATTGTTTGAACATAATTAGGCTCCCCCTGAGTTTAGAAGCAACCTTCTCATGATCATCCACCTGATGAGGATCTAGGGAGAATGGTTCAAGAATAAAGATGGAACACCCTCAAAGTACCTTTTAGGCTTTATCTCTTTTGTCCTTTTAAGACTAACTTAAATATTGTTGTCATGGCTGTGTCTGAACCCATAATAACTAAGGCCTTTGGGATGGACGTGTTCACTTTGTTTCAGTTGTCCTTGAACTAGTTTTTGTTTTTGTTTTTATATTATTCATGATGGCTCTTAAATCCCAATACAGGCAGTGAATATATCACCTGTTTAGAACCGGATGGACATTAATTCATATACTTTAACACAGAGTTAACATTCTACTGGCTGCAAACAGACCATATAGGTGCTTTTTACAGACCAAGCATCAGATAATTCTCTTAATACATATGTAAATGCCATTGAAGAAAGTGAGAGAACCCATTAACTCTTTGCTTGCCAAGGACTTAATAGTTTTTAGACTGCCAAATAGTTTGGTAGGTAAATTTCTATGGAAAACAGTATTTGTGATAAAATTGGCCTAAAGCAGCCCCTTGCATGTTCTTGAGGTTGACCAAAGCAGGTAAAGGGTTAAGGGATTCATTTGAATAGATAGATAGACTCAATAATTCATAAAAGAAAATCATATGATCCCACTAATCTTTGCCCAGAAGATTGAAAAAAAACTTTAAGAAATTAGAAAATTAAGATCCTATACTCCAGGAGAAGAGGAAGAATGTTGTCTGACACATATTTTCTTGTGCAAATTGATTTAGGGTCAACATTTTACACTAACCTAGCTCTTACTCCAACCCTTGACCGAACACTTTATGCAGTCCTAAACCTAACCTTAATACCCTGATCGCAACCCTAACCATATATCTTTTTATGTGGAGCATTTAAGTGGGAAAATCTGTATAAAGTGATCATCATAAAAACACAGATGCATTGATATTTTACAAGTGACTATTGTAATCAGTTTGATAGCAATGCTCACAAGCACCAAACTTATTTAATAATGTTATTTTCCTTTTCTTGCAGCTGAAATCATCATGCTTGAGGGGATGACGATAGTGTACAGGAGTAACGTTGATCTACTCTTCTACGTGGTAGGAAGTGCATCAGAAAATGAGCTTATTCTTGTGAGCGTGCTAAACTGCCTCTATGATTCCGTCAGTCAAATCCTTAGGTAAGTATAAGGGGGACGTGACCCATCTAGGAAGACCAAGACCTCATGGTACAGAGCTTGTGATTGGACAAAAGTTCCTGTCAGTTGCAGTTGTTCATGAGAATAGCAATTCAGCAGTCATGTACTTGCTTGAAACTGTTTTACAGTGGATTCTGATTGGCTATTGTCATGGAGGTGGAGATTGATTGTGACTCTTTTCAATCATATTGAGTTGTATGCAGTGGCATATCTTCCTATCTCACAGAGACAAACTGGCTCATATCCAATTGTCTCCCATGAAATGTTGACACAAATGTCGATCTTCTCTTCAGTTAAAATTTAAAATCACCAAAATGTCTTGATTTTATTTTTTTGTTATAAATATACCTGTAGTAGAAGCAGGATCAGGTTGCTTCCGAATGAAGAGAGGGATCTACTGTCTAAAAATGTTTGGATATCTGCACAAAATTTCGGTTCTGCCAGTCGTTTGCGAACAGACTTAGTATGCCTTTGATATATCTTTCCAAATATAAACTATTTCCCCCATTGAGGATCATATTTTGGAGAGACAGAAATTTGAAGGATGAAGATGTCTTGCTGTATTTTTGTTTGAAAGTCTTCCTCAGTCAAATACATTGAAACAAAATCTTCAATTTTCTATTTGTCTGGTTTCATAGGAACAACAGAAACAAGAAATAACCAGCTGAAAAAGAAAAAATGGATTGGATAGAATACTCAGGGGCTTGAATATTTGCTCTCCTTTTCAAACGAAATTGCTAGTTTGACTTTTGAATTGAAACAAAAACAAACCTTTCAACAAATATTCATTTGTCTGTATCCTCATTCTCTGCCAAATACAAACCCAAAGGATTTGGAGTGACTCATTGTTCATACAACAAAAGAAAGATAAGCTGAGAATGACTTGATTGTATCTGAGTCCCAGCTCTGCAGCACGCATTCCGTGATTCCTCATTCTTTTCCTGCACCGTTTTCCCATCCTCTGCCTGACTTGTCCCCAAGTGTTCGTAGGACGTTCCCCCTCGTGGGACCTCTCCTTCTTTTTATAGGTAGCAGACAGGTAGTGAGTGAGAGGTTTGGTTTCACAGGTGAGTTACTACGCACATGGTTCCACTTCCAAGCAACATGGCATCGCTAATTGGGCATCCTTCTGCAAGAAGATGAAGATCAACTTTTCAGCCGTTTTATTTTCCTTCCTTATAAAAAGTAGATAATACACGAAGCCCAGGTGCAAGAAGGGGCATTCCCCTTCATTTCTATTTCTTATCATCAATCACAATTGTTTGCTTGATGATTGATGATAAAAAAAGAAATATATTGCAAATCAATGAGTATTCTGTATTATTTTGTTTGTTGCACATACAGGTACCCTAAACAAAGACTTAATATAGTTAGAAAGAGGTATTTGTGCCTCCCCTCAACCCCCACAGCCTGCTACCCCAGTAATTCACTTTGTCTCACAACCTAATCTCACTTATCTCAAATCGAGTTATCCATTGTTCCATTACAGAGGAAATACTGCGGTTCTCTGTTGTCTTGCTATCTCACTCTTTTTATTGAACGCTTCCCAGGTACTGTAGCTTATTCATGCCAAGGCTTCACTCCTCACAAATTCAACTAGAAATAGGTATTCAATTGTTGAAGTCCGTTGCATGATTTCTATTTATTACTTCTGAATGAAATGCTTCAATGAAATAGTGATGTACTGATGTTCCTTTTTGATGACAGATTTATAGAGGTAGAGACTGATCTTGTGATGCTTTTGGTACTAGAGAAAGATGCTCTTTCAGAAATGTTATGATCTTATATGAAATATTAACCTTTGGTGTGATTGATGATTCACAAGATATTGTGTGAAGAGAGGAGGTGTTTGCAGCTTGTTCATATGCAAGCTCATCCTGTTCAAAGAGCCCCTTTAGAATTGATCTTCATTTTATATATATATATATATATATATATATATATATATATATATATATATATAAATAGAGACTAGAGAGAGAGATACAATGCTTTTAATTGGAGGTCATTAGGTCAAAAAGGTCACTTCACATAAAAGCAAAATATGGTGGTTTTGTCTTCATCTTGTCGACCACTTCTGTTTCATTTGAGCTTTAGTTATCCTTAAATGCCTCCATCACATCCTGTTGTAAACACAGACTATGTTAGTTATAATCCTATAAAACGCAATCATAGAAATAAATATTAAATTAGGGAAGTAATGCTTTCGAGTTAGTAGTACATTGAGCCAAGTCACTTGAATTTTACTTTTAAGTCTGAAGTCCTGTTATTATTCTTGGGCGATAATCAAGTTTAGGTGTTGTTTTGAAGTTGAACTGAATGTTATAACTTACACAGATGTGCATTAATCTACATATGTGACCTTGGGCTTGGCAGGGCCCTTAATACGAGTGTTCATACTGCATAAACTCAGTTGCTACAAACTTTAGTTGAATTAATATGAATCTGTACCTTTTCAAAAAGGATGAGGATTATTTCAGGTTATTCCAGGATATTTCATATTTGGATTTTTGAATATTTGCAAAAGATGGATACCTGTACTATCATTTAGCAAGAATGTTCTTATGGCATATTTGTTACATAGTAATACATATATACCTTGGATTGTTTTGAACGTATCCAATTCAGACATTACTCAAACAATATTTTTATATAGAGCTTGTGCATACAGACTCTAAATAACGTACTTCATTCCGATCCCCTTCCACAGAAGTTGGTGTAGAGCCCTGGATAAAGCCAAGTTTTCTGTTACCAAGATTAAAATGAGTGGGAACACAGTATCACCTGTGTAAACACACTTCTACATGTACTTTAAGGTCAACACAAAAGTATTTCATGTCGGTTTGGTTAATATGTTTTACATAGTTATATCCCAACGTAGCATATTTATTCTATGAAGACCTTGTGCAGGGCTTCAATCTAAGCTTTCAATTTGCTGGTCCGGACTGACAATTGTGTACTGAACCCTTCCACGTTTAGTATTGAGCCACGTCGAGTGGAAACACAGCTTTTTTCTAAACTCAATCTCGCTGGCTGGCACAATCTTGACATTGACTTGTGGGTTTCCCAGGTAGCTCATTTCCTGCTAGCATGGGCAGGCTTGCCAAGTCCACTGTTTACTCAAACCTTCAAATGGTAGTGATGAAAACCACACATGCCCAACCATACTGGAGCAGGTCTTCAAAATGTAATGAAATGAACAAAGCAACCATTTAGAATGCTTTACATTAGGAAGGAATATGTATTCCTCAGATTATATGGTAAAGAACCTTAGTATCCTTTGGATTGTGTTTATAACATTTATGAGTAGGGATACAATGAACAAAGAAACTTCTTTATGTTTCCTTTGCACATTGCTCTTTTAAACACTGTTTTTAAAGTGATATTTGGCCCTATTGAGTAAGGATCTTAGCTTATCAGAATTTTAAAGGAGAGATTTTTTTTTTCTTTCTTCAAATTCATACAAATTGTATACTTCATTAGAAACAAACTATTTGGTGCAATGTTTTGGACAGGCATGGCAAAAGGGTGTTGATTGCAAATCTTTCAAAAAAGCTTTCAAAAAAATATTTGCTTCACTATTAGTTTCTTTTTTTCTGTCATTGAATTTGACATCTATTATTTCCATCTCATCCTTAATTTGTTGTTATCAAGGCACCTTAATATCAAAGAAACTAATCACAAATAAGTTATTTTTGAATGATTAGCAAATGTCATGTCTTGTGTATGGACCATATCAGCAATCATTCTTCACCACCCTTGTTGGAGGAAATTGTTAATTATGTTTTCAAACCAATTCATTCTGAGAGCCAACTATAGCTCCTTCATGTTCCCAATCAAGACTTCTCTCGCTAAGCAGTGAGAAAAAGAGGCAAGACTAATTAAGGCATTTGTCACCAAGGCCTAGATACAGTGCTCAGCTAGATGAGGCAGAGGTAGTTTGGAGTTTCGGGTGATTTAGGTCGGGGGAAATGAAACCAGCATCTTATATTTAATTTTAGTTGTCCATAAAGTGAGTCAGCAAAAATAGTCTTTTCAGATGTACTTTTCTAACGTGAAGCTCTTTATAAGGTCTGTGTATGTACCTTGTGCCTAGGTAAGAAGGGAAAATACAATGATGAGTTCAAATATTATCTATCAGATATTGTGTAAACCTGCAATACTCTTGTATGTATTTGCAGCCAAAATAGAACCAAAACAATATCTCTGTCATATAATCTGCCACTATATGCTTGTTTTGGTCATTTTCAATTTTAGGGTAGGATAACTTTCTTGAAAAGAGGATTAGATATTGGACCTGAGAAACAAGCAGCAGTAGAAAGCCAAGCAGAGTGGATGAATTCAATTTAGAACCTTCCCTGTTACTTTCCATTGTCTCACAGGAAGTTGTGTGCAAGATTTACTTTTGTTCTCAGGAAGCAATCGTGAAGATTCCAGATTGTGCTTACTCCTAGTCTTCAGTCACTCCAGGAGGGTTCTGGTGAGGGGGAGGGTTCTGCATGGTGAGGGGGAGGGCAGGATACATCAAATCTTTGTCTCGTTCCCCTTCACTCCCAGTATATATTACCCTCATGGATGTCTTTTGAATGGGTTGTGGGCTCGAGAAATGGTTAATTTGTCCGAGGAAATTTGCAGAAATTGCTCAGGAACCTCTTCCTCTTGTGCAAGGTGGCAGGAGAGAGAGAGAGAGAGAGGGAGAGAAAGAGAGGGAGGGTAATATCTTTTCTGCTCCTAGTCGCTAACCTTCTTTGGGTTTTGTTTTTTAGATAGGCTTTTAAAAGTTCCATTACCTTGAGATGCTAAGTGTTTTTATTTTGTGCACAGGCTTGTGCTGGTAATAAACTATATGAAAAGAAAGTGAAATATAGGAATGATGCTGCTTTAGTTTGAAAGTTTCACCATAAAGGAGTAGAAGAAATGAAGGTCAGAAGTATAAAAGAGTATGAAAAAGAGACAGAATGTGAGGATGAAGAAGAACTGTC